AAGCTCATCCTATAGGCTGAGATACGAACCCAGTCACCCAATCACAAAATCACACGTAAGAAGAAGAAGAAGAAGAAGAAGAAGAAGAAAGTATCATTTTTATAGCGTCTCTCAAGATAAAAATCACGAGGCGCTTCACAAAAGCAAAAAATGTAAAATATAAAAAAGCATTTAGAAAATGTTTAAAAATATATTTAACCCTTTGATACATAATGGTCACTACAGTGGATAGGTACTCAAAATTGTTGTTTATTTATTTTTGGTATTAAGCACAGCTGTTGAAGCCTTTATTGCATTTTAGCCCCTCCATTTGTACTTCAGTAAGCCAAGCCTACATATTTCATGTTCAGATTGCACACTGTCCACTGAGGTGGACATGTAATAAATTATTTGTAAATTAAATGTTACAAAAATATAGAAATATGACATTTGTTACATTCACACCTAAAGATGAATGAAAAAATTTGTTTAAAAAATCATGGTTGAAGATTTCATAATTCATGCATCAAAGGGTTAAAATGAGCAAAAATAGGCAATCGTGGAAAAAAAGTTAAGAAAGAGAGAGAACGAACAGGAAAGAGGGAAATCCGTGAATCCTGATGAAGGTGGAATAGGTGGGGAGAGCAGAATAAAGGGAGAGTGGTGATGAAGGTCATACAAAAGCCAGCTTGAACAAGTGAGTCTTCAGCTGCTTTTTAAAGGAGTCCACTGAGTCCACTGATCTCAGGCTCAGGGGGAGAGAGAACTGAAATGAGAATCCAGAGTGAAAGCTGGGTCAAAGGTCACGCCAAGATTCCTGACAGAAGGTTTGGTGTGAGAAGCAAGCTGACCAAGAGAGTCTCTGACTTTGGGAACCAGCTTGTCTGGGGCACAGATGAGGATCTCATTCTTATCTTCATTCAGCTGTAGAAAGCTCCCAGCTATCCAGGTTTTGATAGAGTCTAAGCAGGTGTGTAACAGCTGCAGCTTAGACATCTCATGGGGCTTAAAGGACATGTACAGTTTGATGTCATCTACGTAAAGATGGTAGGAGATTCCTTTGAAGGAGCTCAGGATGTGCTGAAGAGGAAGCAGACAGAGGAGGAAGACCAGAGGCCCCAGCACAGAACCTTGTGGGACACCATGGGTAAGGGAGGTGGTGGAGGACCTAAAGTTGGAGACGGCCACAGAAAAGGAGCGCTCAGAAAGATAAGAGGAGAACCACTCCAGAGCAGATCCTGATAGTCCTACCCAGTCACTCAGCCTCTTCAGTAGCAGGTGATGGTCAACAGTGTCAAAGGCTGCAGTCAGGTCCAGCAGGACCAGAACAGAACAGTCTCCTGCATCACTGTGAGTCAGAAGGTCATTAGAGACCCTAAGAAGAGCTGTTTAAGTAGAATGAGCTCTACGAAAACCTGACTGGAAGCTATCATAGATGTTATGTTCATCAAGAGCAGCTGTGAGCTGTTTAGCCACAACCTTTTCCAAGATCTTGGAGATGAACGGAAGTTTAGAGATGGGTCTGAAGCTGCTATGAAGAGAGGCGTCAAGACTCGTTTTTTAAGAAGCGGGTGGATTACAGTGTTCTTAAAGTAAGCAGGGACCTGACCAGAGACCAGAGAAGCATTAATTATAGAGAGCACGCTGGGACCGATGGACTGAAAAGCACTTTTAAACAAAGATGAGGGTAAAATGTTGAGTGGGCATGCAGAGGTCTTCATAGAGTTAACTAGTTTGGTTAACTCAGGCAAAGAAACAGGAGCAAAGCTATCTAGGATGATGCATCTGGTTGGGGTCGGGAGAGGCAGCGATAAGGCAGAAGGAGAGATGCTGGATCTAACCTAATTGACTTTGTCCACAAAGAAAGACAGAAAGTTCTCACAGTCTGCAATATGGTGGATGGAGGCTGTAGGAGTGGCAGGAGAGACGATGCTGCTGATGGTGTTAAACAGCACCTTGGAGTTCCCTTTGCTCTGGGACACCAGGTTGGAGAAACAGGAAACCCTAGCGTCTCTGACTGCAGAGTTAAAGGATGTCAGAAGATGCTGTAGGTGCAGCAGATGGACGTGGAGATGGGTTTTCCACAAACGCTCAATTTTTCTGCGTTGACGATTCAGGCAGTGAAGACTGTCATTAAACCAGGGAGTAGGGTTCACTGCAGGAACTGATCTGGTTCTGACAAGACAGATGTTGTCCAGAATGGAGAGGCAGTGCTCGTTAAACTGAGAAGTTAAGGAATCTGGGTCATTATCAAAAGAACAGGGTGGATCGAAAGCAGCAGAAAAACTGCTAGCTGTGCTCTCATTAAGAAAACGAGAACTAACCACATGCCGAGCTGGAGGTGGGGATGCAGAAACTGACAAGTTAAAGAAAATGCAATGGTGATCTGAAATATAAACGTCCTCAGGACAAACACTGTCAGCATTTAGACTCAGGATAAAAACAAGGTCTAGAGTGTGCCCCCTGGTTTGTGTGGGGCCAGAAACATGGTGGGTAAAGCTGAAGGAGTCCATAAGGCTGGAGAAATTCATGGCAAAGTGATCAGAGGGATCATCAACGTGGATGTTAAAGTCACCAACAATCACCAGTTTGGACAGCTTCACAGTGGAGGATAGAAAGACACTAAACTCCTGAAGGACAGAACTGTTTGGACCAGGTGGACGATAAACCACAGCACAGTAGAATGGGTCCTTACGCCCAACTTTAATCAGCTGCAGTCCAAAGAAAGCAAGGTGACCAGAGGTTGTAGAGCTACAGGGAAGATGGTCTCTGAAAACAACAGCTAGGCCTCCACCACGACCAGAACCCTGGGGCTGGCTAAGAAAAGAATAACCACTCGGGCAGAGTTCAATCAGACCAGAATAATCAGATGCTTGCTGCCAAACTTCAGTCAGAAACAGAAAATCCAGGTTTTTAGAGAGAATTAGATCATTGAACAGGAAGGACTTATTGTTAACAGAGCAGGTATTTAACAGAGCCATGCTGAGTGAGGTGGAGGAATCAGAAACTACAGAAACAGCTGGAGTTAGTGGACGTAAATTAGCAGGGTTAGATCCACGGTGTTTAAAAAAACCACTTATCGAGGGAACAGGAGGAGAAGCCACTGAAGAATGAGGATAAACCGACCTTAAAAAACTTGGATGGAGAAACCTCACTGCAACGCGGCCTGGCAGGAATGCGGAAGTGGCGCTCAGGTCACCAAACAAAGGAAGAGAAGCTAGAAGAACACGCCGATGTTTACTAGATAAACCACGCTTTAAGGGAAGTCTTATTCCCACCTGGATTCCTGCTCGTTTGCCTCTTTTCCTCCGACGTTTTCCCGGGACCGGATAAACATTGCTGGAAACACTATGATTGGAATCATCGTTTGGCTCCGGGCTAGTGCGCCACTCAGGTAAACAAACAGGATGGTACGTCTTCGGTGCATCTTGGGCGATCGTGAACGAACGGAAGGACAAAAGAGTCTGGCGATCATAGGAGATGGTAGCAGGGACACTACCGAATCGAGAATCGCAGACAGGAGCAAGGTGGAAAAGAGGAGGTTAGTGGAGAAAAGTTTAAAAAGTGGCCGGTGACTGCGGCTAAGCCAAGCACAGGCGCCATCTTGTTGTAAAAGATGCTAGGTGCAGGCAGGGAAAACGTTCTGCTTCAGGGAGTGTGTTCGATGCTGCTTCCAGGTGGTCAAAGTCAGGAAGGACACCCACTGGATTTGTAAAGCCTCAAATGTTCCCCTGTGTGTTATTCTGAGTCCTGGCACATATAAACTATGGCTTGTGGTCTTGACACCTTCTTTGTATATGTACATAATGTAAATGTAAATATGTGTATATAATTTTGTGGCTTGCTAAACCTGATCCTGTCTTCTGCTGGACATTTTTGGAAGTTGCAGAGGTAGCCAAAGCGTGGAACTCCATTTTCAGCAGAATGACAATTTCACATGAAAAAAGCCTGAGACATGCCTTGCATTTCTGAAAATGGTTTGTTACAAATTTTTGTGGCTTTCATTGCAATAAATATGCCATTATCTTTACTTGGACTTAGATTTTGTTTACTTTCAGGTTAAGTGTGCTAATACAGCTTGACCAAATGAAGACAATGACTCTAACCTCACATAGGTGAGGTTGTGCTGAAAAGAATGTTTCCAAACAAGGCATAAACAATGAAATATAGTTTCATATGAAGGTAAACACTAAAACTTGTCAAAACGACAGTTTCTACCACCGACTCCAGAGGGCTAAGTAATTTAACTAAAATATATAATCTAATATCTGTTTTCCTTTGCTATCGGCAACTTTTGTTACTAATTAGCAGAGGTGTGACCAAGTCACTGCTTTGCAAGTCATATGTAAGTCACAAGTCTTTCCAATCAAGTCTCAAGTCAAGTCCAAGTCAAAGACAACCAAGTCCAAGTCGAGTCCAAAGTCAATGATGTTGAAGTCCAAGTCAAGTCCAAGTCCTTAACTTTGAATTTTCAAGTCATAATCAGGTCATCTGTCCAACTTCAATTTGATGACAATGATAATAAATAAATTCCAGAAATAAAGCTTCTTCATTTATTTGCTCAAACAAGCAGAAAGTGCAACTGAAACTGATTATAAACAAAGTGCTGCTGCATTCAGCAGTACAAGATCCAACCCGGAACGAATATCAAATATGCTCAAGTCATCAAGTCAACAGATGCAAGTCGATTCAAGTTGCAACTCATTGGCATTCAAGTACAACTCAAGCCGTAAGTCTTTATAGATTTTATCAAGTCAAGTCAGAAGTCATTAAATAATGACTCGAGTCTGACACGAGTCCAAGTCATGTGACTCGAGTCCACACCTCTGCTAATTTGCATGATCTGCATTAAGTTCAAATACAGAGGAACTTTCTAACACAATATTGAACCTTTTTTAATGTCTATGTACAAAATAATACAATAGATGAACTATAAAATGTATCTAATGAATAAATAAATCCACTTGTCTTTTTTTTCTTTCTTTCTTTGCATAGACACAAAAGAAAACCCAGCTTTAAAAAATACATTTTAATAATTGCTCTCAAGTAAACAACTCTTACAAATTGTGACAGGCCTCATCTATTTAACACAGAACAAGACAAATGCCCACAGGGAAGAATATTTAAATCCCAAGTGCATGTGATGCAAAAACCTGCCATGCATTTTATTGATGTGAAAATACTCAAACTCAGGCCATTTCCTAACAGCAAACCACAGGACATGCAGACACTACAATGAGTTTCACGATGTGATGGGAGGAGGATTTATGGGATGCACAGACATGACATCAACCTGCTGAATGAGTCTTCCGTTTGTGTGTGTGTGTGTTCATGTTTTGGCTGTGTTTTGTCTGTGAGAAGGCAAAAGAAGTTTATGTGCACAAATTCTGAACTTCTGATCCCTCACGCTGTAAATGATGACATTCCAGCAGCTATTGGTAGCCAAAATCCAAAAGGCAAAAAAGGAGAAGTTGCACCATTGATTTCCCAAAACGTTCCCGACCACAAAGACGGCGATGGGAGTGAACGACGCAGTGAATGCTACTGTTAGAGTCCCGATGGTCTTAGCAGCTTTGATGTCCGAGAACGTTGGGTTGCTTGTTGTGTGGATCTCAGTTTCTGCCAGTGTTTTTCTGTGTTTCGAGTGCTGCCGGATGCTGGAGAGAGAGATGATGTTAATGACCACGGTTCCGCCAAGCAGTGTAAAGTCAAAGGCAGGAAAAAGGAGAAGGATGTTCCAGGCCTGGCTAGGGAACTGGCCAATGGCTCCCAAGGCGTAGTTACACATCCGGCTGCAGGAGTTGTACTCCAGAGCGATCTCCCTGCTGAAGACCATCGGCGACACCGCCAGAAGGAAGCTCCCCACCCAGGACAAGAAAATGAGGATTGTTGTCCTTTTACGAGTAATCACAGAGTCCTTGTGCAGAGGCCTCAGCACCGCAATGCTCCGCTCAATGGTCAGCAGGAAGATGGTTGTAATGGAGACAAAGGTGCACCCAGCGAAGATCGGACCAATGATGTTACATGGGTGAAAACTCACTGATTGCGAGTTGTACGACGTCCACTCTGGTGCTGAGTCAGCCACCATGAGGTAGACCTCGGCATAGACGGTCAGCGGCACCACAAAGATCCCCACAGCTAGGTCGGCTACAGCCAGGGAAGCCTTCAGGTATCCCTGTGGCGTGTGGAAGTGTTTGGTCCCCACCACCACAGCCAGAGTCAGCAAATTCCCAAACAGGGTGGCGAAAATCAGGAGCACCATGAAAAGCACCATGAGGATTTTATTGACCAGAGTACAGCAGCACACGGTGCAGTGTGCTGCTTCATTTCTGTCCATCATCATCAGAGTGCTGGTCTCAATCATTGGAAAAGCGACAAGGAACGTTCACAGCATGACCTAAACACACAGGAAAATAATATATGTTAAAACAGAGTGAATGTGACAGACATGTGAAAGTGTGTGTCCTGCAAATTAAAGGTTCATTCAATTTGCTGACATTTAAGTACATCAATTCCTTAATGACTGATATCAAAATTTCACATTTTACATTGATAAATTCTATGACATAAAAAATTATACATGATCACATTTTTCTGACCGATCTGATTAGTTTGAGGTAAAATCAACGAAGATGAAAGAATCTACAATTTAGATTTGCAGGTCAAACTTCGGTTCACGCCATGAAAAAATAACGCAAACCTATGCATACATTTGTAGTGGTCTCTAGTATGATGAAGGCATTGAGTTGATCTCTGAGGAAAAAAAAGCTCTCAGAGCCAGAGGACTGGGGAGAAGACGGCAGGATTTGGAGTCTTATTTTCTGATTTTTGGACATCTCGCCTCTGATTGGCTAACAGCAACACAACTCTATCACTGACTCAGTTGGCTCTGCAACATTAATGCTTTATCTCCACAAGTAACACAAGTCTGAAGGAGTTCTGCTGTGTGGTGGAGCTGCTAACGCTAACTGTTAGCTTCTGCTTGTCGAGACGTGCTCTGCTGTTTGGAGTCCTCTGATTCTGAAAGGCACTAAAGCCTGATTTATACTTCTCCGTGAGCTCCGCAAGGCACATGGAGTGTCGGAAAGGTTTTCGCATTCGAACTTCTGTTGCAAAGCAATTCCCCGCCAGGACAGCAGAGGGCGTAGCTCTGTTCTGTGGTATCCTGCCACTATAACTTCGTGTATCCGTCCCTGATAGTGTATTTACTAATGTGTTTATAAATTTCAGAGAGTTTGTAACACGGACAAATTTGTCCTTCATCCTCCTCCACCTCTTCATGCGGTCGCCACCTCCAAACCCACTTTTACCATCGTTTCCATCCACAATTGCACCGTATTTTGCACTACTCCACTAAATGTTATTATTTTCGGACTTTTTCCGTGATGAGGTCTGCTGCTAAATATCTGTTTACTTTTTAACCGAGCTACAACTGTGCTGGTGACAAATATACAGGAAGTGACATCCTGACTGACCAATCACAAGCTTGCGTTCTTCGTCACTTTCGACGGATGTTTAAAACTTTGGGCATGTCTCCGTCACCCTCTGTTAGCTCATCAGAGCGTCCTTGCGCGACGCATAATGGCATTGCGTGTCTCCACACCAATGCAGATGGAGAAGTATAAATCAGGCTTAAACCAGTACGGATCATTTAGCATTCATTTGTGCCACTAGATGGCAATATAAAACTACATGACAGCATATTTTCTTTCACTTTGGCAATTTCCTCCATTTTAATGTTATTTTTTTACAGAGTCAGTGTTTTCCTGTTTATGTTTGTTCTTTTTTGTCTTATTGTTGTAAAAAGCACATTGAGTTGTCTTTGTGTAGGAAATGTGCCATATAAATACAAAAGTCTTGTGTTGTCTTTGTTTTACTGGCTTTTCTTGTTTTGTTTCTGTGATTTTGTAGCCTTCCGGTTACTAGTGCGTTTTAATATGTTAGAATGTTTGTATTTTGGAGTTATTATTCTTTGTTTTTGGTTCATTAGTTCCCATGTTGCCATTTACTGTTTACCTCAACACACCTGTACCTGTTAATTAACCCAGCTGCTTTCACCCAGTAATTATTTTAAATAGTATGTGGGGGTCCTATTTATCCCTTAGCTCTCACAAATCAACCAACTCTGTGACAAATGTGCTGCATAAAACGTTTTCTGAGACACCTAGTGGCCTGTTGATAAAACTGCACACAGCACAATATTTTAAGGGTAAAAGATCATAAATTAATTCATGAATCTGTCAACCTTTCAAAATAAAATCCAACTAAATCACATCATAACATGAACGTTTATTGTCTTTTGAACATTTTTCATATTGTTAGGTGATATTCACATGTTTTGACTATAATATTTTCACATTTGAAGAAACATCATATTATTACAAAATAATAAATATTTGAGCAACAATCATCGCTGGAGCTTATTTAGAAAAGATGGAAGCAATTGGCTTCCAAAATTAGGCAAAAACAGAAAAGAACTGCTAATTCGTGTGCCCATGTCAGAAGGACGCATGTATTCAAAGCATAAATGTCCCATACATTCATTTAACCTACAATAAAAAACGCAACAAACACTTTAATATTATTTCTGTTGCTATTATTAAATTCCAATAAAATGATCCATGATGTAAGAAATGTGACAGTAAGGCGGGGTTTGGGGATGTCCTGGTGGTACAGTTGTGGGCCATTCCCATCTGTACCGGGTTGGCCCGGGCCGGGTAGTGTAGGTTGTTTACATATCTGGGTGGCCTGGTATTTTTCCGGGCCAACCAAGGCTCATTCTCAGCCCTCTTCTCGAGGGGGTCTGCTTCAGGCCGACCAGGGCCAATGGGGCCAACACACCCACTGCTGACAGCAAATTCACACCTTCCATTAGAACAAGCCTCTGATTGGTGGGTAGAATCAGCCCACATGGGCTTAAGACAAGGATGTGTGGAATGAACTGGGCCAGGCTGGGGCCGACTGGGGCTACCCAGCCCGGGCCGACCTGGTACAGATGGGAATGGCCCATTGGTTTCACATCAGTTGGCACGCGAGCTTTCCTCTTTTCATGCGCGTGAGGGAAGCGCGGGCAGCTCCGTGCTAATGGATGGATCATGGATGGATGGATGGAGCTCGAGGTGGGATGACGCAACAATCTGTCCGAACAACAACAACATCAGCTGTAGTAAACAAATCCCAGCTTAATCGGTTTCCTCGACATTTTTTCCTCTTAATCAGCACTTAGTCATTTAAATTCACCAAATTTAAACGCAGCTCAGATGATTTAAAAAGGCTACACATGAAAGTAAATACATTTATTATCTTCTAAATATCCTCTTGACACTTTTCTTTCACATCTAAAACATGCGTAAAAGTCCACACCTGCGGAGTTCTCCGGTGCGCGCACAGAGCACAATTTAATCAAAAATGCCATTTAAGAAACATTTCCCCACAAATACCCCATGTTAGTGGGTTCCACCAGGGAAAATAAACCAAACTAAATGTTTATTCACATTTAATGACCCCGTGTAACGCGTAAAAGCAGAACTTAGCCTCAGACTTCCAGCTGCCACTCAAGCTTTCTTTTCTTCGCTGTACATCCATCTGAAGCGCGCAGTCAAGCAGAAAGTCCTCAGGTCCGGAGCGCATAGACTTCTGCGTAAAGCAATAAAAACTCGGTTTTTGTTTTCACGAGTGGCTCAGAGTCTACTCACTTTCTGTTTTAAGATCTTCTCAAGACGCCGTGCAGCCAGCATCGTGCGTGGAGCGTCTCTGAACCAACCCCGGTCCCGGTGAGCAGATGCATCTGATCCGCTGCGCTCCCGAGAAATCATTAAGTGTCTCCACCACTGGTTTACCCATTGGCTGAGGACACTGGTGACACATTGGTCCACCCCCCCCTTTTGAAAAGTGACGCCTGCTGCACACCGGGATGGAGGCATATGCGCCAGAACTGGGTGGTGTTTTCCATGACCTCGTCCAGGACACTTATTGTAAGATGGAATCATTTTTCATCATTATCCTGATGTCCAGCCCATGGCTTAAATCCAATTTCTCCTTTATTCGGTGTAATTGATTTTTCATTTGTCCAGTTCAATAAAATGCACCTCACTGGCACCTTTACAATAATCTTAAAACGTTGCTGCTGCGACAATAAGTCTGGGGTTCAGTTTTTATGTGAAATCCTTTCTATGACGCTGTCCTGGCAGCTGTGAGAAAAAGATGATAAACGAGTCAAATGTTCCAAAGAATGGGGAAAAAGATGCGTTCAATGACCCCCTGTCCACAGTAGATTTAACCTTAAACTAAGCTTGGGAGCTTTTACACAGTGTGTAATTAAAAAAATAGCTGGTAAAAATAAATAAAAAAAATATTTAAATAAATTTGAAGGAAACAAAATAAAAGAAACAGATTAAAAATAAAATAAATACAAATATTGATTGATGCTACAAAAGCCTGTTTTGGCAGATTGTAGAATTGTGCAAGTGCCGAAAGAAGGAAAAACTGTCATGACTCCCATCCTTCACCCTCCTCTGCCTCCTCATTTCACCGTCATTCAGCTCACCTGGTCCCTTCACCAAGCTCCTGACAAGCCCTGTTTCCCTGGCAACCACAATCAACTCCATTCTTCTCACCTGTTCCTGTCATCAGCTTCATCCACTTCACCTGCTCCTGACTCCTCAGCTCATCTCACACACCTGCTTCCCCTGCTGTAAAAGAACAATTCTGCTATCCAGTCTCTGCCAGATTATTGAAAACATTTGCCAGTAAATTCTCCAGCCATCCACCCTGCCTGATCTCTGCCTCCGGACCTCGTTTTTTCTCCTGACACCTGCCTTGAACTCTGCCTGCCATCACGACCCTCGCCTGTCTTCTACCACGTCTCCAGCCTGCTCCCTGTACCTGCTTGTGCCGATCTGGTTTTGACTCACGCCTGCCCTCCGACTCTGTCTCCTGCCTCGCCCATCTGGCAACTCCACCAAAAATAAAACACTTTTTTAATATACTTTAACTGTGTTTGGCGTCATTACGGGTCTTCTGTGTTCAGCTCATGACAAAAACATAATTTCCTTAAATTATACTAATTCGTTCATTCTGACAGAAAATAAGCAACACGTTTTGTTCGGTGAAGTTTAAAGGTGTGGTTTACTATTTATTCGACACGTTTGCAGTGTTCTCTAGTGTAATAAATGCCTTATGAGCCCTTGTTCTGAAATGCAGAAGTCTGTCTGTGCAGAGGTGGGCTGAAAACATCAGAATTACTCCTTATTATTAATGCACACACCTCCATTCTGATTGGCTAACAGGACTCATTCAGCCCTTTTGCAAAGTCATTGTCACCAAAACACTCTGCTCTCTCTCCTCGCTGCAAAAAAAAGAGCCTTCCTGTGGGTGGGCCATCGACATATGGGCGCGAGACAAGATGGGCAAAGCCATGAATGCAAATTCACATTGTGACAAGTACATGTGAGGATTTTCAAATCCGACCGTTTCACCGTCTATTTTCGATCAGAAGTTAATGCAGGATGTAGGTGTTGGAGACAGTTTTCATGTTCAGCCTGCACGAAAAACACTGAGTGACTGATTATAATCAGAAATAATCATTAAAAATATTTTTAACCCAATTTTGCAGGATACATTTGAATTTTTGTTAAACTATAAATGTTACCTCCTCCAATAACAGAAAAAAAAAAGACTAAACAAAAACCTAATTCTATGAGACAGAGGTGGACTGGCCATCTGACATGCCACACGTGTGTCCCAGTGGGCCTTTTACCCAATGTGGCCCAGTATGCTTACTGCCAATACTTTCTAAATATAAAATACTATTTAAATTAATAATATTAATAAAAAATATTGTTATTATTATTATTATTATTATTATTATTATTATCATTGAAACTGTATTATTTTTCATCGTCTGTGGCACATGAAATTGATAAAAGTCCCCTAAAAATCCGTACTGTGATGACAATTTCATAACTACATGTAACTTTAAGCCTATCTGAGTTTGAGTTGCTCATAATTTCATATTTGTTGCTCAAAAAGTTCCTTTTGTTCTCATCCCAGCTGCATAAAACTACATATTCAGTCATCACACCAGCTCTGGTCATTCAGTCCAGTCTGACACTTTCGCTCCATCTCTTTAATCTCTGGAGTCCTTTTTCCTCTGACTCGCTCATTCTTCAAAGCTTTAATCTTGCCCCTCTGAAGCCATTTGACTCAGCCATGTGAATACTTTACACCACCCGGTGCGTTGTAGTGTGTCATTTATCTGCTGGGTTGGTTTCAGTTCTGCAGTGGACACAATTTAACAAAAGTATAATCCCACATTTCTCTGTGTGTGTGGAGTGTAATCCTTAATCCAGAGAGGCTCAAGTCTCGCGTTTTACATTTCAGCGAGGGGAGTTTGGTTTCAAGAGCTTCACTCAGCAGGAAAACGTCTTTGTCTCAGTTAAACATGAGAAAAATATTAGACCGTTTATGGAAATTAGGGTATTTCCTGCTACTGATCAGTGATTTTGATGAATCTTTAAATAGTATTTTTAATCTAGTTTTTTCTTTCTGTGGTGTTTTTGCCCACAAAGAACATTCAGTTCTTTTAAAGGGAACAACCAATGAAAAACCTCAGTTGTGAGAAACAGAGATCTTTTCTGACTTCACCACTGGTGTTTTTGCAGTTTTAAAATAACAACCATGTTTTTATTTCAGTCACTGCCCAATTTATTTGAAATACTTTGCTATTATAAATGTCAATGCCATAAAAGCAGTAAAATTGTGTTACTTTGCGTAACCTTTGGAATGACTTGCTTGTCAATATGAGCGACAGCTGATCATTTCCTGTAATCTTTATTTTTTTGAGGTGTGAAACACTGAAACCCCATTTTTTTAAAGATTATTTCTGATTCTAATCACTCACTCAGAGTTTTTCATGCAGGCTGAACATGAAAATAGTCTCCTACACCTATCTCTTGCATTAGCTTCTAACAGAAAGATGTAAGAAAGATGTATGAAAAAGTTAGCTGTTTTAGTCAAATGCAGCAGTTTCAACAAGTTCATCCAACTCTTGCAGCTTCTGCGTCAGCCTCTCTTTGTTTTTTCAGCATTATTGTATTTTTTTTAAATCTGAGGCTGCTCTCAGAATTTTGAAATCTAAAGATGAGAAATCTCAGCGACGGTCTTTTAACTTCCATTTAGGCGGAGTGATAGCGATGTTTGTGCTGAGGTCGTCTGTGAAGGAGCTTTCTATTCTCTGCATGCGTTTCCTTCATCTTCTGTCCACATACTCTCCTGACAGTTCGCCAACTCACTGCCTTTGCATGTGAAACATGTTCAGCCCCAAATGGATACACTCTTTTATCCCTCAAAATTCATTTGTATTGAGACTTTTGTATTGTGTGTGTGTGTGTGTCTATTTAAAAATAAATATTTCTGTCATGTTATTACAACAGACAGGGAGAACAGACAAATATGTGAAAAATTCCTTATTTAGACAAAATAATTATTGTCTGGTTGGTTCTGATTTAATTACACACATGGATTTCCCACCAGTTTAGCATCATGTCATCCCAAGTTAATTAGGTAAACCACAATTTTTTCTCAGTGTTCTATTTTGAATAAAACTACCCTACCACCAAAAAATTCCTAGAATTTATCAGAAAACATCAATTATGTTTAACTCACTCACTGCCAGCTGTTTCCTGATCAGAAAAGCCCTTCGCTGCCAGCGTATTTTCTGCGTTTTCACTGTTTTTTAAGAGTCACAGAACCATAGGCGTCATTTTAACCGGGGACATGTCCCCGGCAAAATTTGTGATTGGCAGCTGTGTCCCCCCCACTTTCAAAAACGCCTGCTGATGAGGATTTTTGTTTTACCAGCTCAGATCTTATACCAGGGGTCGGCAACCTGTTCCCATCAAAGAGCCATTATTACCCGTTTCCCACGGTAATTTTGGACGGACCTTAATAAGCAGTGACTTAGTGAAGCAGGCAGGTCGCACTAGAAAATTTCGTTTAAAAAGACGTCATAAATGTGTTCCCCCGTCCTTTTTATTTATAAAATATGAAGTAAAAACTCACAATTTAATTTTCATTCATTTGTCATTAATATTTAGTCTACAACCGTGCGTTAAGTGGACCATCTTCCAGTAAACGCAAAGCATCCAGTCCACCTCTCCAAATGCGTAAAATGTGCATCAGCCGCTAGTTAGGCGCGCCGCGCGCACCATCAGCTGATCAGCCCAGACAAGAGCAGAGCAAATAGAGAAAGAATAGAGGATAATTGTGTCTGGATGTGGATGGAGATTACATTTTACATCAGCCTGATCATCATTTAAACACGTAAACCATCACCTGTCTTCTAGTCCATGCTATCAGCATTATTTTAATTGGGGTGTGTGTGTGTGTGTGTGTGTGTGTGTGTGTGTGTGTGTGTGTGTGTGTGTGTGTGTGTGTGTGTGTGTGTGTGTGTGTGTGTGTGTTTTCCACTTCAAACACTGGTCTAACCAACCAGACCAGCGTGTCCAGTAACGTATTAATGTTACAATTAAACAGTTTCACTTCATGTAGGCTAGGAATGTTTCACCTGCCGTGGCCCGACCGCTTCTGCTCTACATAAACTTTGTGCGTAATCAAATGTCTCTACGCGTCATGCGTCTCCATATTAGAGACGGGAACAAGCGCTGTTCAGCCAAAGTTTCATAATTTCATAAAAAGAACATGTTTCCAAGTGACACATCCCTCAGAGAGACCGGGTTTCCAGACTGTTTCAGTGGGAGGAAATCTTATCGCATGCACCGTGGTTCTGCACTGCGCTGAGAACCCCAGATCTTCAGCTCACTGTCCACCGTGGGCGCGCCGAGCCGCGCTGAACACAGTGTCCAGTATAAAGCTCTGATGTTCTGATGGGA